AACAGTAATAAATATCTGGTCTTGAGCCCCAGACTTACAGACTGACTAACTGACTGACCGTCAGTCGCAATGTGAATTGGTCTTGGACAAGAACACCGTGACCCTACGAGTTGCAAGAGGCCACGAAAAGGGAAGTCTCAAATTTGAGAGAGTAAAATGTGGTTGCAAGTCCCAAGGGACTCGGACCGAAGAAAGACTGCACTGACAAGCACCAGCAGCATATACAAAAGACAGACCCGTCCTCTCGTCAGAAAGGGCGCCCCACAGAAACAAGACCGTAACTGTCAAACAGTAATAACTATCTGGTCATGAGCCCCAGATGGGGCTTGACACCAAGACTTACTGACTGACTGACCGTCAATCGCAATGTGACTGACTCTGACTTTGAAAAACAGGCAGTTGGAAGGGAGCCGCCGTTTAGAGAGGACTTGAGCAAGGAAACAACGGAATAAACATTGTTAGACGCCGTTACCAGGTAACTACTAGAGAAAAGACTTAGCACGTGCTGTCATGATCTGTAAAGTATGGAGATCAGCAATGGCGCTTTAAGTGTAGCCATGAATCCTGAGTTAAAGTGGTCAATAAATTCAATACCCAACCCAAAACTCTGTCTAAAGTCACACAAGACTTACGTTTCACATGACAGAACATGTTTCATAACAAGAAATTAGTCTAAGGGACTTACCTAGAGAGTAAGTGTACCACTATCAAATCGTGGAGCCGAGTGGTTCTGGTTGCCAACTTCCTACGTCAGTTTCTGTTGGAGCGAACCCTCAAACCTGTTTCAGATGGAATGGCCGCGTCAACACAGAGGTGACGCATTCAGGGAGTGCTTGGTTCGACGTTCAACAGGCTATCCTGGTGTATTTTGCGGACTGGCTCAGAGGTAGAGTGGCTGTCACTCCTGCCTAGCATTTGAAGGTTTCGGGTTCGAATCTCAACACCGGTACTGCCTAACCTTGCTGAGTTTTACTCAGTCCTCCAGTAAAATTCTGCGATAATACCTCAAACTAGGCGAAGAGCGCTTCCCTTCACATCCACACGATCGACGCTACAGGCTTATAGCATGCACGGGCAAGAGTAGTTAAATGAACTTGTGGAATCATACATTAAAATAGGCTAGGGCCACTTCCTCAAACATTCGTCTTTATCCGTCGATCTTAATGCTTGGTGCTATTCAACGAGTTGTCTGAACGTCGTTAAATAAACCTTGAAATAGATCACGACCATTTCCTCTCACGTTCGTCCTTATCCGACAGGTACAGCCACATAACCTCAGCAGCTGATGCTGTGCTCACCTGACCACGTTAAGGCCGCACTTGTCGGCGCGGCGCGACTGACCTTGCGAGCCGTTGCAACAAGTTAGCAGCGCCCGCACCTGCGACTTCCTGCCACCAGACGCAACAGTTTCAGAACTCACATGTTACATCACACGGTCGCGAGCAGGGTGACCGGATCAGACCACGGCGCAGGTGCAAAGCTACGAGGGAGTCAGTAAACAGGTCACAGACAGATGTAAAACAGCTGTAATGGATGTAACAGGCCTTCTATGTGCATCACTAGGTAGCAGCACAGTCAAGCTTCATGACAGTCTAGGTAGCAGACGCGCATGCGAATGTTCAGAGGCTGGTTTTAGTAGTCAAAATGGCGGCCGTGCCTGAGATTTGTACTACCGAAAATGAGCGTTCTTTTGCGCAATTTTGTGGGCAAAATGACTAAATGTGAAATATATTAATGAAGAAATGTTTTCTGTTTGTGGGGGGGGGGAGAAGTGTTCGTCGTGTAAAGCGGTTCACAACTAGGTCGAGAAATTCTCTCAATTATGTTCGAAAGTCTCAGTTGATGCTCCACCATGTGCGCAAGGGGCTAAGACAACAATCAAAAGACTTCTATGCTGCGGGTTTCGACGAACTGGTAAAGCGACGGGACAAGTGTAGCAATGTTGGTGGAGTATATGTCGAGAAATATATTTTTTCCTACCAGGAATATCACGTTTTACGTCTTATATCCATTTGTGACCAGTTTACTGACTCTCCCTCGTATGTGCTTCGTTTCGTTAGACACTGTGTACAATGGCAGGATTTTGTAGGGATGGTGATGAGCCACCGGGCAATACAACACGCGCCGCTTGGCGCCTGCCCACTGAAAGGCGAGAGATGAAGCCCCCAACGTAAGGACTGATGTTGTGATAATGTGCTGCGTGATCAGGGCTGCGCTCACGGAGGGCAAGAGTAATCCTCTGGCCCTGTATTCGAGAGATGCTCGGTTCGAATGTCAGCCGAGTCACCGGCTATCGTGAATCTTCGGTGATTTTCCTGTTCCTCTAGCAAAATGACACGCAGTACCCTGTTAGGTCGCAACAGTTTCTTCCCAGACCCTTCCAAATTCATCATTAATCAGTTCTCTTCCTTCCACTCGACGCTACACAGACCAGACGCCGACAGCGATGCAAATTCCTCCTCCCCCCCCTCAAGCACACAAGATACGAAATTCGATTTTAATTTGACTCAGGATAATATCCAGTGGACGGCAAATGCGGCAATGGATATACTGGTTCGCGGGAAATTTATGGGGTAGCTGAGCAACTGTTAGCTTCAGTTTAGCTTACGAGTTCTTTGACACTCATTACATTACAAGGGGTTCTTAAATTTTTGATACCCGAAACCCCTAGAATAACACACAAATTTACTGGAGCCCCCATCTCTGCCGGTCAGTGAGAAGCGCAGCTCCGCACACTGTTGCAGGTCCCTACCAGACTGTACGGTGACAGCAAGAACATAAATTGTAGCTTTACAGCCACTCTTCCGAAAGCGCCAACGTGAAAACTTACTGACTTGAAGCAGGTCATATTTTAACAAGCGGCTCCCTGCCTTCTGGGATATAACGCCTCCATGTTTAGGGTCGAAGAATAAGCCAATCAAGAAACCAGTAGAAAGAAGAGTTCATACTGAGAACTTGGCGCCCCCTGGGGGCCGAATTGTAAGATGAACTGTGAATAATGAATTGGAAAGGAGTGGAAAGGAGGCGCTGGTGGCCAAGCAGAGGCATTATCCTGGCATCTGCTTGGAGGAAGTGAAAAAAAAAAAAAAAAAAAACACGAAGGACCTCGTTCAGAACGGCCGAGAATCGAACCGGGCATGAACCGAATGCAAGTCCAGACAACGTCACCAAGCCGCTCGCTTAACGAGATTTTAGTTTCTCCATTCCTCGAGCACCCGGTCGGCACTCTGCTCCGCTGGCTGAGGTGAGGCAGTGCCTGCAGGCTTAGTCCCGGAGAGCAGGCCGGCAAGCCCCCACACCTGCGCAAACAGTTCGGGGAAAGGCCATGTTCGGCGCCCGCCCGCGCGAGTGTTTGTGCAAGCGAACGGACTCCGCCACAGGGCAGCGAGCACACTTCGCATTGTCCGTCTGTAGCTGCTTACGGCAGACACGGGCAATTAAATCTTATTTTGGGGCCGCTTGGATATAATTTTTCGAAGTAATGTGGGGCCCTATCATCGCTAGAAACACTGTGTAGCTAATTCCTTGGAACAGTTACCAGTCGCTCAGCTAGTCAAGAATTCCCCACATTTTATGGAACCTGGAGATTCATTACAAAGTTCAGAACAGCCCGCCACTGGAGCCAGGCGTCCACGTCACGCACTCTCGTCTCGTGTGTTTCAGGGCACAGTGAACTGGACGGTCGTGAGTTCTAACCCCGATACGAGGGCCCTAACTTCTTTCCGCCACAACTCTAATTCAGTGTCCACGTGCGAACCTAAGACAGCCTGGGCTATCTTCTTCAGAGGATCGGAATACGTGGAGCTTTCCCTCCTTGCCATCACGGGAACTCTGCCCTTTTATGGGCCCTGTAGTTGCTGCTGCAGGTCTGCCCATGGGCTTGCTGACAAGTTGGTCAACACAGCACTTGCCATTACGGAACCTGAACATTTACCTACGCACTTACAGGAGCCATTTTAATCCACTTCAGAACCAATTCCTCTAACATACGTCTCAACATTATTCTCCCCTTCCTCACACCTTAACCCTTCGAGGCACGAAGTTCGTCTAAACAGCAACTACATATCCAGTTTCCACCTCACAGACAACATCGTGTCTGTATTTCAAAGGCCAGCCGGTTACTGCTGTTTGGGGAAATCTCTTTATACGAAACATACACTGTGTGAGAATATTGCAGAGTTCTTTTTAAGATAATCAGGTGGTATATATAGTTAGCGCTCAGCTCTATGGGTTAATCCCGATAAAACATGAATGATGTATATTTTCGACTTCAGCGTTTACCATAAAAATGTCTGTGGACTACGGCACTTCAGAAGCGCCCACGATACTGAGATTCATTCAAGATGGTTGCTGCAAAGTCAGTGCATAAGCATTCTATGAGCCATGCAATAGCTTGAAAAGAGAATGCGCTACGTCAGGACTTGACACATTGTGGGCGGTCGGGTCACCTATAAATTACATGACGCCTCTCTTCACGGCAAATTCGCGACGAATTCGTTTCGCCACGTCGATTTTATCTGTCTGCGTGCAACAACTGGAGAACGGCCTAACAGATTTTGATGGAATTTCACAATGGGGAAGTTGCATTCGAAATTTAACACATTCCTATTCTGGTTACAATCGGACAAATAAACATTTTACATGAAGGCCTTACATGCGTTTCTGCTAACACCTCGATCGAGACTCGCGAAACATGTTTCGAAGAAAAACTGCGAGGGGGAAAAAGTCAACATTGTTTTACAAGACATACGTTTTTTTTGAGCCCTTAAGTTTTCTAGATCATTAAACAAAATATGGCGAATAAGCCTCAATTTTTCATGGTCCGAGTACATACCGTAACTTGTTTCACTCCTCTGTCGGCAGTGAACAAGGGCACCCCCCAGCAGTTGGGATCCATTTTGCGCCTAAGTTGTATAACCTCTTCCGACCGTTGCGCCCGGTTTGTCAAGGCCTGCATTACCCACCCATACATTAAATTACAGATGCAGCATATCACTTACCTCACGCACTCGGTCCTGAAAACAAGCGCTGTTAATTCACGTATGTCATCGGCCAGTGCAAACAGAAGCTACTGGAGCACAATATCTTTGTCTCTCAACTTGGGACACTTTTCAACCACAATGCAACATTACGGCAGAATAATATTCTCACATTCACGACATCACGCTTTGGTAACACTGCATTACAAGTTTATCTAGAAAACATATAACACGTGTATCAACCATTCCTCAACATCAGCCTTAACCTTAAACACACTGAAGCAAACAGCCGACTAAACATAGCTTTTGCCGCTGTAGCCCCTTTCAGGTCTGTGGGTGCAACGCATGCGCAATCTGGTCTGACGAATAGTGGCGCTATCGTACTAGAAATTGATATACTAAATCCCGTGAGGAGCAGGAGGAGGAGGAGAAGAAGAAGAAATGTGGCGCTCCAAGTTTCGAACGACGAGTTTTAACAAACATTACGTGATACTGACAGAAGTAATTGACAAGCTATTTATTGTAAATTACCTTTATCGATGTGAGCTATCGACAAAAAGAACTGGACTGGTAAAACACGACACGTCAATATCAGTTTCGTGACTAAGAGAAACAATATACAAAGTTCTTGTCCGTATTGTGAAGGGTAAAGTATAACTGTCAATTGATGCCATTGTTAACAAAAATGCTCACGAACCTTACCGACTACTTCCATCACTTTCGTTTCACGATAATATCTATATATCTGGCTTTCTATTGCACTCGACAACAAACTACCCGCCCTACGCCCATAATTCAAGGGGGGAAAGGGACACCGCACAAATCCTTTAAAAAAATAAAGAAAACTGAACTGAAATTTGCATAATGCCCACTTCTTGCGTCAGGCAATCATCTTATGAAGGAAAGGCTGTCATGTAACGAATCGGCTCTTCATAAATATTACAGCATTCTTTTTCGTGTTACTTTAAACAATTGCAATGGTATGTATGACGTTTCACATGTTTCGGTTCACTTAGTGTTACATAACCTCACAAGAATAGAGTTGTAACTGCGAAAACACGCTCATGTCTAGCCGTGACGACTCGTTGCACTGCGCATGTCAGTAAGGAATCCCAGCCGAATACTTGAACCGACTACAATATTCATGACTATATAACTACATTTTCCGGGATAGATCAGTAAGTTTCCTGACTCCAGGAATTTCTGAAATTATCTAATGTGCAAAAAATAAGATTTCATATGTTTGCCGCCATTTATAAAAGCAGTTAAGCCACCGGCAGTACGATAAATTTATTGTTATTGTTGCAGGAAGCGCGAGACTTTGAGGTTATATTTCGCAGTTTCAATGTAGACAGAATCTGCAACAAGTGACGACCTTTTCATAGAAATAGGATAAGGGTAACAACAGCATCAGATCTAGGGACTAGAAATCTATGCAGTAGGATAGAAGTACAGGCACTTATCATTGGGCATTTGTGAAAACGTAGGGGGCACTGGAGACCGAGCTCTACGCATTCTTGACCTCAGCACTAGATGGAGGTGAGTGGTTAGCTTCACGCCGTGCCGCCTTACCCACGGTGCCCACTGTATACGGGGCTGGGTGGATGGGCCCCACTGCTGATCTGTGTCCTATGGAGATGAAACAAAATCTCTCGTCTCTACCGGGAATCAAACCTCGATCCGTCAGGTGTCCAGCCTCAGACCGAGTAGTTATAAAGCAGAGCTTGTAAGTTTTTTTTAATCTGAGCTAATTTTGTTTGTTCAAATACTCGTAACTGCCAAAATGCTTCAAATAAAATTATACATGAAGTGAAGCGGAGTTGTAATGCCATTCAGCTCAGAGACAGTCCGACGTTTCGGAGGAATTTGTGGCTTTCATCTTCAGTTTCCAACAGTAAGCCAAGTAAGAAACTATTTCCACTTGCGGTTCCTTCGTTTACTCTTCGACACCGAAGATGGAGGCGATATAATTTTCCGAAACGTCAGGCTGTCTCCGAGATATGCGGCGTTGCACCACCGCCCTTCAGAACTTCAAGGGTGAGGAAAGATACCGACTCTAACGAGACGTGTATCCATGTAACGTACCAAAAGTTTCTTCACTCATCCAGTTTTAGAGACCTCTACGTCATGTGAAGATAATTAGAATGATCAATGATTAGGATGAGAAGGGCAGGGAATGTAGCACGAATGGGGAAGAGGAATGCATATAGGATACTGGTGGGAAAGAGACCACTGGGAAGACCAAGAAGTAGGTGGGTGGACGATATTAAAAAGGATCTCACAGAGACAGGATAGGATATGGACTGGCTCAGGATAGAAACCAGTGGAAGGCTCTTGTGAACACGGTAATGAACCATCGGGTTCCATAAAACTTTGAGAAGTTCTCGAGTAACCGCGCAATTGTCTGCTTCTCAAGAAGGGTTCAGCTCCACGAAGTTCGTTAGTTACGTCATGTGAAGAAATGTTATATTTGACCGATACAGCAAAAATTACCTTCGCCCGAAGAACTTTATTGTTAAGCCTGTAATACAGAATTTAGCTGAAAACTATTCATGAGTTCGCAGATGGAATTTCCGATCATGCAGGCCATTCTCCGAGCAAAGAACTCAGAGAAGTGGCCAAAGAAATGTTTTCCTCGACCTGTTCAGCAAGAAGCTTAGTTCTTAGCAACCGTAGACAGAGTTCCCACGGACAGCGGGCCTACGCAAGGACGAGCTCCCAGCTGTCCGCAGGGCGTGGCCAACTCAAGGATGAAAGAATTCTGTGGTATTCATTGCCCTCATATGAAGGATTTCACTCCAAGGGCTACATGACAGCTTATGCCAGAGAGCTGCAACTGCAACTGGAGCCTTCAGACTTTCACTGCTTCCATCTTCAGGGTGGAAGAGTAAGCAATGTACCAGATTACGCAGCGTCACACTCTTGTATTCTGATGATGGAAGCAGCACGTTCAACAGAAACGTTCTTAATGATCTACGATAATACACAGCATCACACTCTTCTACTCTGAAGATGGAAGCAGCACGTTCTTCTGAAACCTTGGTATCTATACCAGACTACATGCAGTCACACCCCCCCCCCAAAAGACTTTAGTCTTCAATCTTATTCCATCCTCGGGTGATGGCAGCATAGTGCTGCTGGTTGATTTACCGGCGTTTCGGAGAGGTGGCTGTTTTTGTCTTCAAGGCGAACTAATTAAGGGGACACGGCGCCGATTTTATTTCTACAGTTCCAGAAACGTTGCATTTGGGGTTCCCAGTCATATCTTCTACAGTTAAAACCGCGTTGTCCGGTAGAGAGTCACCGACGTTTCGGAGGAACGTACTGTGCCTGTTCCGTGCTGCTTGTTTAACTTAATCTTCGACCCTGAAGATGGATGCAATATATTTATCTGAAACGTCGAAGAACTTATACCGGACCACACGGCGTGACACCAGACGTTGCGGTGTAGTCACCACTTCTGTTTTGTAGTCGGGAGGTCCCTGGTTCAAATCTCTGCCCAGAGACCGGCTGTTCTGATTGGGAGCTTCACTGATTTTTCACACGCATGCCGGGATACAATGCTGAAATAGGCCACGGCCGCTTCCCTCCACATTACTCACTAATCATTCTATCATTTGGTGCCACAGTACTGAGGGCGTCGTTAAATGAACCGCTTATCATTTCCGCCTTTCTGTCCAGGGAAAGGTCATGAGATCCAGTTAAAGGCAGCTCTGAGATGTGACGCCGTCCAGTTTTGCCATACCTTTACATACGAGTGGACAATAATCTTCAAATGTGACTGTGTCCACATAACCGCACGCTGCCTAGCAGATCCGGTCTGTGTTATTTTAATTCTCACAGGGCAGAAAGGCGCCATTTATATGCAAATGACAGTGTCGGGGAGAACTTGCTAGCACATTCCTCGCCAGCATCTGTCCCAGCAAAAGGTGGCTGACCTGTTAAAGGCCTTTACCCTATCTGGCATGAGTTTCGTCTAGAAATTTAGTTCCTACCTCACAGAAAACACTGCATGTGTCGGTTAATGGCGTTAGGGAAATAATCACCATTTGCTGTGAGAAACATACGAAACTCCTGAATTCACTGTGGGCAAAATGCAAGAGTCCTGTAATGATGAAGCAGGCGGTACATATAGTTACCGCTCTACTTCACAGGGACGTCGGTTCTCTCTTCAGAACCCAAACAGCCGGCCCGAGCCCTGTACATTACGCGAATAGTAACTTGCTGACCAGACCAAGGCTCCGATGGAATGATAATATTAAAATAATTCTAAAATATACGACGGGACCTTGTGGACTGAATTCATCTGGCACGAGATAGGGACAAGTGGCGGGCTGTTGTGAACACGGCAATGAACCTTCGGAGTACGGAAAATTCCGGCCACTTATTTAGTAGCTTCTCAAGAACAGGCTCAGCTCAGTGGAATTACTGAATGCTTCTTAGAATTCGTAGCACATGTAGATCAGAAATGCGTGTAATATTTTGGTTGGACAATGTCGGATGACCCACGCATAGACAGGGGAATAATATTAAAATGTACAACAAACAACTGACTGAGGATAGGGCCCAATGTCGAACTGTTGTGAACATGGGAATGAACATTCTGTTTCCATGAAATGTGTGGGAATCTCTTGAGTAGCTGAGCTAAACATACATTATGAATGCTCTGCCTGAGGTTTCAGCTTGGGCTTTTGAGGCATCCATACAAAAAACAAGTTGCAGTCTGTATGGGTGTCTATATGACAGTCCTCAGTCCTCAAAGAAGTTCAAAGGAAAGTGGCACAGAGATGGATGCATGTGGATAGAGGGACAAGCAATTAAATTGTGGGGTTAATGCAGACGCAAAGCATGAACAATATCTTGACAAGTATTCACAAAGTGTGGCTATATTCACATGGAACAATTACAGTTAAGCAATGTTTACCTAACACTACAGTCTACAGTATTTATGGTATAAGATTATCTCTAAACTCTTCTTCTAGAGATTTTAAAAACAAAGTTTCGAAGACTGACTTGAGGTTTTTCATCACCCATTTTGTGGTTTATCTTTTTGGTCTATGAACACAGAACACATAAAATAAAATTAAAAAGTTCCCTGAATAATAAAAAGACTGCTACAAACATTAATTTGTACAGCACAGAAACTTGTCTTCAACTAGACACTGTTGGCAACACAGAGAGAGTTTTAACTTGCATCAAAAATGCTTATTTTCAATTGTTCTTTTACACAAAGTGTCAAAAATATATATACAAAGTATATAAATATATATACTTTCATCATTATTATTTTTCATGTGAAAAAAATGCGATATTGTACTGTTTTTAAAACTACTGGCAATTAATTAAAT